GGCATCATGCCCCCCCTTCTGACAAGTGGGAGGGGGGGGGGGGGGCGACCTCGGCTCCAGGCATGAGACAAAGGCGGCCAAATGCCCGGGCCCCACCTGCCCTGCACTCGACACCCCGGCACCCCGGCACCCCGGCACCCCGGCACCCCGGCCCCGCACACGCGCCAGTCTCCCACACGCCCCGGGGCGGGCCGGCTGGGGGCCGTACGGCGAGCGTGCCCTCGCAATTAGGAGAGGCGCTGGCGGCGGCGGCGGCGAACGGTGCCCCCACCACCGAGGGGGGTGGACGTAGATTAATTCACATGCTGGCTGGTTCGCAGCCTTCCGCGACTTCTCGCGGGGGCCCGTGAGTCAGGCTCGAATGCACGAGCCAGCCTCGGTCCCCCACCTCGCACATGTGATTTGAAATCGATTAGGCATCGGGGAGTGTGATTGGGTTTCGCGTGATTGGCTTCTCGGGAATGCTCGTTGGCCACCCTACCCCAGCGGCATCCGGCGTCTGTCCCCCCCCCCCCCCCCTCCCCCCTCCACGAGGCGGAAAGAGAGGACTGGCCCGAGCGGGGCCGGAGGCTGAAGGAGGCTCAGGCGGCCCGTGTCTGTGTGTCTGTGTGCGTGTGTGTGTGACGGTCGGTTCTGGGATATTTACCCAACCAATATAAAAAGTCTGCCTTTTCCTGCCCGCGCTTGAACATTTGGTTGGTGTCCTCTGGCTGGCGCGGTGCCCGCACCCGGGAAACCCCGATCCGCAAGCCAACTTAGGTTTACAGCCCCCTCCCCCCCGATGCAGGGTTACAATCCGCCTAGGACCTTCTCCTGCGGCGGGCGGGCTTTTCTCGCGGCGCTCCTCAACATCCTGGTGCCCTTCCTGGCAGATGGCAGGCACCCTGCCCCTGGGAAAGGGCGGCCAGTGGCGAGGGGCGGGGAGAGGCCTGCAGGCGTTTGGGGAGGACCCCCGGGGGGGGGGGGGGCAGTGAGGGAGGAGGAGTCTTGTTTTCTGGCCGTGTGGGCCAGGCGATGCTGGCGCACATCTAGAATGTTCAACCGCCGGTGTGGTATGCAGCGGCCCGGTGGTGCGGCCTCCAGGCCGGGGTGATGGCCGGGCCCGGGCAGCCAAGGGCCACAGGCTGGCCGGCCGCCACACATTTCCCAAGCCGACTGGCGTCTACATCATCCCAAAGGCTGGCGCCCTCCCGGGGGCCAGCCTTTGGGGCTCGGCCCACTGTGACCGCCCGCCCGTTGAGATCTCGCCTCTCTGTCTTGTGAAGCGAGGGGGGAGACCGGAAAACGGTTACTTGGCGCGCGGCTGGCTTTCTGGGCAGACGTTCATGCCGCGGCCGCCCGCGACATGGGCACCCTCCACGGACCTGCACACGGCGTGCGTACAGCGTTGGCAACAGCACCGTCCCCCGGGCCGGGG